AAAACGTTATGGAAAGTCTAAGAAATGCCACCAGAGAAGCAGTAGGAATAAAGGCAAAGGAGATCAACAAAAAATACTGGTGGAACGAGAAGATAGAGTTACTAGTTCAGGAAAAGAAACAAAAATATTTAAAATGGTTGGCAACAAAAAATGAACAAGATCTGGAAGATTATAAACAAACAAAAAGACAATTAAGAGCGGGCATTAATTTAGCTAAGAACGAGACGTGGAATAAGAAATGTGAAGAAGTTAACAATTATATCGCAGGAAGGAAATGATCGGAGGTATGGAAATTTATATCAAATGTCAAAAACCCAGCAAAGGACAGAGCAAATATCCAGATAAACAAACCGGAGCAGTGGATACAACACTACAAAGGTCTACTACAAGAAACTAGACAGAAATACATGATAGAATCTCCAAAACATTTTGTAGTAAATGGAGAAGAAGTAAAGGTATACGAAGAAATAGTAAAAAAGACAGTTTTGAACCTTAAGTTAGGGAAAGCTAGCGGACGAGAAGGGATTTTCTCCGAAATGTTAAGATGAGGAACGGAAAAACTCTTTAGAAATCTAACAATGATTATCAATAAATGCCTAAATGGACATCCTGTTCCAGAAGACTGGAAAACAGCTTATATATCAGCCATCCATAAAAAAGGAAATAAACTGGACTGTAACAACTATCGAGGCATATCAATCACGAGTACACTGAGCAGACTATACAGTAGAATACTGCGAGAACTAATTGAAGAAGACTATAAAGAGAAAGAAGAAGAAGATCAAAGCGGCTTTAGAGCAGGTAGATCGTGTACCGACAACGTATTTTGTCTAACACAGGTCATAGAAAAGAGATCTGCTAGACATCTGGAAACCCATCTTACATTTGTGGACCTACAAAAAGCATATGATACAGTCCCATTATCGAGACTGTGGAAGGTATTAGAACAAACGAACATCAATCACAACTATATAGCTGCACTTAAAGAACTGTATGAAAATTCACAATCAAGAATTAAGATAGGTAAAAAACTCACAGATGCCTTCATAGTGAATAAGGACTACGTCAGGGATGTCCTATCTCTCCTACACTATTCAAAATATATGTAGCAGCGGCACTTAAAAACTGCAAAAGGAAAATACACGGAACGGGTATAGAGATAGATGACAGATACCTATTTACTCTTCAGTTTGCAGATGATCAGGTCATAGTGGCCAATGACAAAGACGACATGCAATATATGATTAGAAAGCTGATAGAAGAGTATGAGGAATGGGGCTTGACAGTTAACGTAAATAAAACGAAATATCTATGTGTAGGCTCTCAGAGCGAAAATTTGGAGTTGGACAAGAAATTCTGCAATGTCAAGAATATGAATATTTAGGTATCACATTCGACAATACCGGAACAGATGTGAAAGAGATAGAAAAACGAATAGTTACAGCTAAAAAGATAATAGGATGTCTGAATGGCATCTTGTCAGGAGGCATCTTGTTATCAAGGAGATAACAAAAAGGAGAAAATTTAATATATACGAGACAATGGTTAAGAGCAGTCTATTGTATGGAGCGGAAACATGGAGAATTCCAGACAGACAAAAAAAAAGGTAGAGGCAGTTGAAATGGACGCGATAAGAAGATCTATGCGAGTCTCACGAAGAGAAAGAATGAGGAATGACCATATATAACAACGAATGGGAATAGAAGGTACGATAATTCAGGATATCGAAAAGAAACAACTTACCTGGTACGGACACGTAGAGCGAATGCAAAATACTAGATGGCCCAAAAAAATACTGAACTGGACCCCAATAGGGAATAGAAAGCGAGGAAGACCCAAACTAGAGTGGCAGCAAACATAAAAGTAGCTCATTTTTGGGTTTTCCCCGGTTTCCTCAAACACACTCTGTCCAGAGCGATCTATTGATTGATCTGTGTAAATTTTTGACTAAGATTAATTAAGTTTGAAAATTGGAACAGCTAAGCCTTTGGATTCTTATCAATACGTTAGCAACCTTACTGAAAAAGTCAATTCTTTATTTATTTATAATTAAATTTAACAAATGTGACATCCGTCTTTCTAAAAGCTATTCAAAGACAGTGCTTCTTATAAAATGTGCTTTAAGGTTTCTTCTTATATATCTATATCTTTAATGTTTTAGTATGTGCAATCACCATGTATATCCTCTTGATAATGTCTTCGAAAATGTCTCTTTTTGGTAGCCTTTCGCTTTGATCATATTTAATCCATATAAGACTATGTTCAAACTCTACTGTCAATTTTTTTTACTGTTAATAACGAAGATGTAGTTTTCTCTATCCTTTCACTAATTTTGAATGAATTTCTATTGACGATATACCGTCCAAAGCGAAAATATAACAATATTTAATGCTATCTATTTACCAAATTGATAACCTTTCATCTTGCTCATATTGTAAGTGACAAAAAAGAATAAGCGCGAGAAATCAACACAACAATCAAACAAAATTTTAATACGGCCTCCGATTATTACGATTATTGATACGATTATTCTATGCGTTCAAATACTTTTATAATGTCTGAAGGTAAAGGTAAACTAAAAAATACCAACACAACCGCAATTTCAGTCAGCCTTGTCAGTTATTTGCGTAGATACTACGTTCTTGGTCTATTTAAGTTTTTTACCAATTTATCAGATGCACTATTTACATGTATTATTATTTTAAAATAACTCAACAGAAGAGAAATCATGTAAAAATAGCATGCCTAAACTATATATAATCATCATCATCAATCTTGCCAATGTTGAGCATAGGTGCCCTCTAGATATGTCAACATCTCTTATCGAGTTGGTCGTAATTATTTTAAAGTCGTCGATCCATCGTGTTGGAAATCTTCTTTGCTTGTCTACCCATGGTCTCCTTCTTCTTCTTCAAAAGCCATCTTCGTTCCGAAGGTTGGCGATCATCAGGGCTATACGTATTTTCGAAACTGCTGACCGAATCAATTCGTTGTTGCTACAGCTATACCATTCCCGTAGATTCTTTAGCCAGGAGTTTCGGCTTCTTCCTATGGACCTTTTTCCTGCTATTTTCCTTTGCATAATTATTCGAAGCAGTTCATATCTTTCGCCTCTTGTAATGTGTCCCAAGTATAGCAGTTTTCGTTTTTTGATCGTAAACATGACTTCCTTTTCTTTATTCATTCTTCTCAAGACCTCGACATTTGTGACTCTCTCGGTCCATGATATTCTCAGGATTCTGCGATACATCCACAGTTCACATGCCTCTAATTTTTTATATCAATCTTTTTCAACGTCCATGACTCCATTCCGTAGAACAGCACAGAAAGTACGTAACATCTCATCAGGCGAAGTTTCATTTCAAGGCTCAAATCTCTTCCGAAGAACACTCTCTTCATTTTAGTGAATATGGATCTGGCTTTTTCTATTCTTATTTTGATTTCTGCTGAGCTATCGTTGTCTTCATTTATAAAAGTGCCTAAATATTTATATTTGCTAACTCGATCGATAATTTCATTGTGTAAATATAAATTTTGGACATTTTGTGTTGATTTCGATATTACCATAAATTTAGTTTTCTTTATGTTCAAAGATAGTCCATATTCTTCGCTGCAGTCTGCTATCTTATTCACCAATGTCTGTAGCTCCTCAAGTGTTACTGCGATCAGAGCGGTGTCGTCGGCAAATCTCAGATTGTTTAATCTAACACCATTTATTTTAATACCTACAGATTGCTCAGAAAGTGTTCTATTCATTACGTTTTCGGAATAGATATTAAACAGGGTTGGTGACAGTATACACCCTTGTCTCACACCTCGCTTTATTTCAATTTCTTCGGTGTTATTATTCTCTACTCTCACTACTGCTTTCTGATTGTAGTACATATTTGCTATTAGTCGAATGTCTCGTTTATCTAAATTCTTTTCTGTCAGGAGTCTGATTAGGTGATCATGCCGCACTTTATCAAAGGCCTTGTAATCTATATAACACATGAATACATCTTGATTTATGTCAAGACATCTTTGGGACATAACGTTCAGTGCAAACAACGCCTCTCTTGTTCCGAGTCCATTTCGGAATCCAAACTGGGTATTATTGATGTCCATTTCCAGTTTTCTGTGTACTCTAGAGTGTATAATTTTCAGGAATATTTTCAGTACATGGCTCATCAGACTGATTGTACGGTAATCACTACATTGTTTGGCATTTATCTTTTTTTGTGTAATAACAAAGGTGGATAAAAGCCATTCTTGTGGTATTTTTCCTGATGTATAAATGCTATTGGAAAATTCAACTAAAATGTGAATCGAGTCTTTTTCTATTAGTTTAAGGATTTTCGTTGGTATTTCATCTGGACCTGGAGCTTTACCATTTTTCCATGGTCTCCGCTCAAGCCAAACTTCGTTCTTGCAAATGTCCCGCATATCTTCATTTTTGTCTTATAATATGTTCGATAATGTGTCCTACTCTGACTTCTTTACGAATTTCCTTATTTCTTAAGCTTTGGATGCCCACATAAAGATAGGTCTTTAGAGTACCAAGTTTTTTTTAAAAATACCTTACTTGATGCCAAGTTTATTTCTTCTTCTTTGAACACATTTTGGTCATTATTTTGGCCTGTTTATTTGTTATCTGCTGTGTGTTAAGTAATGTTGGCAATGTTGTATCCTCTTTCAACTACTGAATATAAGCCTCCCCCGCCTTCTCCATATGTCCATATTTTTCTTTTTGGCCGAAACTTTCGTCTTGTTTGTCCCAATCTTTTTCCGAATTTACAGAAGATTAACAATTCGTTACACTACATCAGTGACCTTTGTTTCGTTTGTAACGTCTGCACATCTTCATCGTTCAGCAAATCACCTAGCAGTTGCACAAAACTGCAGCGACAGACAGCTGGCCGAATTCTGAAATAGGATAGCCTTGGCAAGGTGCACTGTCGTTAAAGACGTTCCTTCAACGCGTAAAAAAATTATATGACTTACAATCGATAAATACTCACCTAACATCATATTTGGTGAATGCACCCCCAGCACTGTTATTAGCCTATCGGCACCAAAGACAAACAAAGCTCCCAAGAGAAAACCGGCGCCGACTGGAACAAAGGCGAACTCGCCATTTTCTCCATACCTCTTAGACGAGGCAGCCTGTTCCAAAGCAGGTTCCAAAAGGGACCAGAAGGAAGCTGCAGTCATTACGCCTGCAGCAAAACCAAGACTTGCATCCAGTAGTCTTCTCTGAAACAATACAAAAAGATGGTGGTCAAAAGAATGGAAATATTAAGCAACAATTTAAAAAATTAATGTACATATACATATAAAAAAATTAATAAAATAGGTCAAAGATTAAGAACTTATACTGCCAGTTGTCAGTATACAGAAGGTTCCTACAAAGGTACAGGAATGGAACGAGACCAAATGCAAAAATCCGGTTGAGTTTCAGAACAAATGTTTTTTATTTTTGCAGTATTTTAAACGGAAGTTATAGCTATCAAAGTTGCGGTATGAATCTAACTGAACAACAAATAGAGAACATTACAAGTGTGATGTACTCTGATATTCAAGCAGGTCTTAAGGCACTTAGTTCCATACAAGTTGACGCAAACCTGTGACTTGTGTGAGACTTTTCGAATTTTCCTTACTTGGGGTTGAAGTCGAAATAGGTTGATACTAGTCTGGGTAACAGATGCAATTTTTTTAACATCCAATGTTTATTGAGCATGATTTATCAGTACCCATAAAAATCAGGTAACTACGATATTATTTCTTCTTCTTCTTCAGTGCCTTATCCGGATCGGATTTTGGCGATCATCAGGGCTATCATGGTTTTGTTGACTGCTCTGAAAAACAGCTCCGCGGAGGTCATCCCAAACCATTTTCGGGGGTTTTTCAACCACGAAATACGACGGCCCCCGGTCTTCTCCTGCCAAATACTTGACCCTGCATAACAAGTTGACGAATTCGATATTTTTCTTTGTTTCGTATCACGTGGCCGAGGTACGCAAGCTTACGTTGTTTCACTAAATTAAGCACTTCTTTTTCTTTTGTCATGCGCTGTAGGACCTCAACGTTGGTGACATGGTCCATATACGATATTTTTAGTATCCTTCTGTAGATCCACATCTCGGAGGCTTCAATCCGCTTTTCAGTAACTTGCGTCAGTGTTCAGGCTTCAAATCCTATAATATCATTGGAAGAATGTAGCACATCACTATCCACATCATGGTTCCAAAACTGAGATCACTGCAGCACAGCAAGGATCTTAACTTGATAAATGTAGACCGTGCCATTTCAATTCTGGATGTAATCTCTTGAGCGTAGTCCCATTGTGAGTTGAGGGTAGTTCCGAGGTAAGTGAATCTGTCGACTCTCTGGATCTCTTCGCTACCTGCCATTAGTGCCCCGGGATCTAAATTTGCACGGATGACAACCATAAATTTAGTTTTATTAATGTTAAGGTCTAGTACGTAAGCTACGCTCACAGTTCTCACTCGGTCTAGTAGGCTTGTAGATCATTTAGGCTGGTTGCATTGATGTATTTACCGTTCACTCGGATTCCCATCTCTAGGTTTGTGAGGGCTCCAGCAAAAATTTCCTCAGAGTATATATTGAAAAGAGTCGGCGAGAGCACACAGCCTTGCCTTACTCCTCGGATGATCTTCACTTGGTCGGTCAGCTGATCTTCGACCTTGACTTGAACCACGCTGGTTCCAGTATAAATTCATGATGATCCGAATGTCCTTCTCGTCCAATCCTACTCTTTGTAGGGCGGCGACCAACTTCTGGTGCTAACAACGGTCAAATGCCTTGGCGTAGTCAATAAAACAAATAGGTATAGCCATCACAACTGATATCGCGGCATCTCTGACGTAGGACCTGTAAGGTGAAAAGTGCTTCGCGTGTACCCATAGAATTACGGAATCCAAATAGCATGTCACCGACATTTTCTTCGTATTTCTTGTAAATTCTGGTATGTATGATTTTAATTATATCTGGTACACGAAATCAAAATAAGCAGAGACAATCGAACACATGAAATACAGAGGCGAATAGGCCTAACTTGGGCAGCATTTGGCAAATTAAGCCATATTCTAAAAAGTTCAATTCCCATGTGTCTCAAGCGAAAGGTTTATAACCAATATGTTTTACCTGTACAAACTTATGGAGCAGGGACTTTAACACGCAAAAATCTGCGAATAAACTCAGAGTTACACAACGAGCCATGGAACGTGTAATGCTGAACGTGACCCTTCGAGACTACATAACAAACCAACAAATCAGGCAAAAATCAGGAGTTCAAGACGTCATCGAAAGAACCACGTCGCTTAAGTGGAACTGGACAGGGCACTTAGCCAGAGCACAAGATGGACGGTGGAAAAGACGTATTATGGAATGGAGGCCCAGAAACAATAAAAGAAGCCGAGGACGACCACCGACTAGATGGACCGATTATATAAAACGTGTAGCGGGAAACTGGCTACAAGCGGCCCAGTGTAGAGAACATTGAAAAGAACTGAGGGAGGCCTATGTCCAGCAGTGGACGCGATTGGCTGGATGATGATGATGATTTTAAGAAAAATCTTAAGTGCATGACTCATAAGGCTAATAGTTCGGAAATTTTCGCACGTTTTTGCGGATCGTTTTTTTTTTGTAGTGTTAGAAATATTGACAATGACCATTCCTCTGGGATTTTACCTGTATCGTATATGGCGTTAAACAGTTCAGTTAACTCCTTCGTGCTCACTTCACTCATCACCTTAATAAGTTCAACGGGTATTTCGTCCGGACCTGTGACCTTACCATTCTTAGACTTAGTGGATTCTCGACTCTTTCGGTGAATATTTATATGATCGTATTTCACTTGGAGATCTTCGATTAGTTTACATTTTTCTTGCATCCATGTCTGCTTGACTCTTCGTATTTCTTTTTAATTGTTTGGTTGATTTCTTGGTGTTTCTTCGCGTCCCTGATTTTCATTAATCTCCTTTGGTCCATCATCTGTAGAATGTCATCAGTTATCCATTCTTTATTTTTACTCTTATTTTCTTTCCCAGGTGTTCTTTTCCCGCATTTGACGTCTTTGTTATAACTCCACTTTTGTTCTACACTCTGTTCTTGTTGTTTAGCGGTTTCTAAATTTTCTCCCATTGCATCTCTTACTGGTATTTTAGAGTGTCATAATCCAGGTTCTGTTTAGGTTTACTTTTGATGAGTTTCTTTAGTTTGAATTCTATCTGCAACACTTATGGGTTGTGGTCCGATGAGACGTCTGTTCCTGGGAAGGTCTTCGTCGAAGTCAAGCTGTTCTTGAATCTTTTGTTAATGAGAATAAAGTCTATCTGGTTTCTGATGATACTGTTGGCTGTATCTGCAGGTGACTTCCACGTATAAAGTCGTTAGTAAAGCCGTTATAGGTGTTAGCAATGGTAAAATCTTCTTCCTGACAAAATTGGATAAGTCGGTCTCCCCTTTCGTTTTTCTTGCCTAAGCCGTGTTGTCCGACCATACCTTCTATTCTGCTTTTGCCAACTTTGGCATTGAAATCACCCATGATGATGGTAAACTCGTTCTTCTTTGTATATTTTACTGCTTTTTGTACAAGTGCGTAGAACTCCTCGATATCCTCTTCTGGCTTTTCTGATGTTGCAGCGTAAATTTTAATGATGTTCGTATTAACGTGTCTGCTTTGCAGCTTCATCAGAATGACTCTAAAAGAAAGAGATAGCACGTTGACCACAGCCCCAGCACCTTTTTTGTTCAGAATCACCGCTATGCCATTCCAGTGATGTGGTTTATCGTTTTCCGCATAATATTCTATATGCTCATCCACACAACACTGTCCCGAGTCTGGCCATCTCATCTCGCTGAGTCCCATCACGTCGATATTTAGTCTTTTCATTTCTTGAATGGTGTTGTGTATTATTCCTGCTTCAAACATACTTCGAACATTCAAAGTACAGATTTTTTTAACGTTCCACGTGCACACTGTTTCTCTATTAGTGTTTAAATATTGGTAAGGATTTCGTGGGTTTACGACCTGGTAAAGGATTTCGTGTTCTTCCTCCCCTGCCGAATCTTGGTATCCGAAGTCCATGATCAATACCTTCTCCAAATTGGTTTACATTAACCATGGTGAATGAACTAGGGACTATTTATGGAGTGGTTTCCCATTGCCTTCCCCATCGCAGTGTCACAGCCGTTTCACTCATAATGCGAGTGGTGCCTGTGAGTATCTAGAACTAAACCTACAGGATTTTCTTTTACTTTCCCACAGCCTTAATTCAGTAACGCTACTAATGCTGCCTAATGCCATGCCCTCAGTTGATCCGCGGGTGCTTACTTGGCTATGCGTTATTCGTACCTGTCCTGCATATCTGACTATCAGCCATTGGGACGCGCCGTGTCGGGGTTGAGGACTTTCCCGCCTAGTCTTTCTTACGCAAAGTACTAGAGGGCATTTACTCAATTCAAAGCCCCTCCTCCACACAAGTTGAGACCAGCTACAATGTTATATCTTTCCTATACTCTTGTTCAGAATCGTGGAGTCTCACAGATGCTACCTGCAAGAAAATTGAGGCTTTCGAAATGTTGCTTTATCGTCGAATCCATCAACCACGTTACTAAACAGGGCGTTTTATTAAACATGCAAAAAGGGAAAAGAGTTGTTAACCACAATAAAAACAGCCAAAATCGAATACCCGATCACATCATGTGGAACGGCGAAAGATCTGGGTTGCTACAATTAATTTTACAAGGAGAAGTAGATGGAAGACGAGGGCCAGGAAGGCGAAGGATTTCCTGGATGAAAAATATATGTAGGTATGTGGTTCAACACGACAACCACAAATCTTTTCAGACCAGCAGTTTGTAAAATACAGATTGCCATAATAGTAGCTAACATCCGAAACAGATAGACACTACAGGAAGAAGTAGAATGTTTATTGCAATCATGTATAATTTATGTACAATGTAATTTATGTAGTTAAAAGCAGCCCAGTGACAAGCAACAAGGTAAGACCCATAATATTATAAATTTGATCTATGACATAACAATTCATTATTTAAGTCTTACGCGAGGACGAAGATTTTGCAAGACTGCGGGACTTAAAAGTTAAAGATAAAAATTCAGAATCGCAAAGCTATATGCAGATATCGCTTTCAATGATATGGAATCTCGTCAAAAGAGGCTAAATGATAAGTTTTAATTATAAAGAAAATTACAATAGATCTGCAAAGGTATTAGTCTAGATGATTCTATCTACATATCTACATCAGTTAAAATATCAATTAATCAAAAAGTTATCACTGGGAAATGGGACTGAAAATTAAAAAAGGCTTTAGTCCTATATTAGTGAGCATTAGACTTCAGAAAAAATGCAATAACTGTCTTAATCAAAATATTTATAAAAACAAAAGTTCAAAAATATGAGATTTATCAAAATAATTGTCCAATATTTCTGTACACTGTACACCTTTAACATCAGAACGACATTTAAATTCTTTATACATATAAACCTTTATTATTTAAGTATAATCACTGAGCGGCTATTTATCAACTACTATATGACTTAATATCATAAATTTCATCTGATTTTGCAAAAAGCTATATTATAGCAGAGGAAAAATATTCTGGAAACTTTATATAATAGAAGAAACAATAGAGCCAATTGTAATTTCTTCGGGAAATGATGATGATGATGCTATCTAAGGCGAAGGGCTATGCTATCACATATTTATTTAGATACATAATAAATTGCTAAATTTATAATCTCTCTCATTGTAAAATAGTGTATTATTCTCTAATAAACTCACATCTGTCTTATTTAATCATCATATAGGGTAGTGCCTCACTTTTATGCAACAGAAGATCTGTATTGTACAAAAAGAATACTCAATATTGAAAAAACTATATATTATACAACTTTGTGTATTAATTCATAAATGTAAGCTTTCTCAAGTACTTACAAACATTGCCCTAATACTAACTGAATATATACATGATCATACTAGGAAAAGGTATTTTAGAGTGTAGGAAAAGTGTGTGGAGTGTAGGAAAAGGGGTACTTTTCATACAGAAAGAATGAGAACTTCTGGGGCACAAAGAAGTATATACTCAAATGACCTAATCTTGTATAATAAATTGCCCAATAATATGATTAAAAGTCAACTAGGAAGATTTAAATTTGAAATAAAACAATTACTTTTGGATAACTACTACTTTAAGAGAAATCAGATTTGAATCATTTAAATTTCTTACTGTATATTTTTAATTAATGGAAAAAATCCTTTCTTCATCAACATGGATTACTTAATCAAATTTTGTAAAACCATTTTTAATGCAGTACTCATAAAACCAACATAGCTACGGCTCTTGGTTTATTAATGTATACTTATCTGAATTAAACTTGTATATTGTTAAATTAATACACCGGAAATAAAAAAAAATAATGGAAAAATTGGCATTTTTCTAGTTATAGATCTAGTTATAGTTTTCTAGGTATATGGTAAAATAAACTCATGTCTCTACTACTAAGGTGTGAAATTATATTTTAAACCGTTAAGACTTGTTCAATTGTATTTGATGTTGTATTTCCATTGAAGTTTGTAGAGGTGGTCATATTATTTTTATAAATTCTTATTTTGAATAATATATATGAATAATATATATAATAATATATAATCTTCCTTTGAATAGTCTTATATAAAGACTATTGTAATATTCTGTCATAAAAATCGTGCCATTAACCATTAAGCACAGTAAGATTTTGTATAGGTCACCAAAAGAATGGAGACACAACATAGAGCTTGCAAATATAAGATATAGAGGAAAATATCTTGTTGATTCTTTCAACTTCTATTTTTTCATTTTTGTGATTGTGATTTAATGAAACTGTTTTTCATTAAAATGATAATGCCACTGTTTAAATGTAGGACTGATATTTGCTTTAGTTATAAATGATCCTAGTTTTTAAGAGCACTATATCATTTACAAGTTGTTTTTAAAACATACTCAAAAATGGAGTGAGTGTCAGCTGAATTTAAAATCAGTAGAAATGATAAAATGATATGCCCTATTTAAAAGGGTTCTGAAATCTCTAATATATAATACCATCTATATAATACCAAGGAATGTAGGGGCATAAGGGCATTTACAAGTTGTTTTTTTTTAATACTTAAAAATGGAGTGTCAGCTGAATTTAAAACTAGTAGAAATGACAAAATGATATGCCCTATTTAATAAGTTCTGAAATCTCTTATAAACATAACATCAATGAATATAGAGGCATATGGCTTTATAATAGGCATATGCCTATGGATATGGCATATATTCATTGATAAAATTTAACAATGCCCTGTTTAATGTCATTTGTTTTGCCATTTTTGGAATAAAATAATCATATCGTGACAGTTTAACATATCACTTGGTTTCATTTGGAGAGACTAGTACTGGAAGATCCACTGATACTCATGCCCATTTTCATTAAAAATTACTTTTATGTTCAAAAATTAAATTATTTGATAAAAACGAAAAAACCTAAATAAAACAGATGAAAACATACAACTGATGAATGAAAGTCTATATTATAAAGCTTAAGAGACTAATTTTAAATATATAAATATAATAAATATGAGTAAGTAACATTTGGGGGACCGTTTTATTTTTGTTTACATTGTATTTGAGGTTATGTTTCTAACCTGTGAGCCTCGTACAAATAAGCAAACAGCAGCTCCTGCTGCGGTGAGAGACCATGTGAAAAGGGTGCCGAAGAAGGCTTGTGCCACGGGTCCATAACCTTCAAGCATGTCGATTCCTAATTACTGCAATCCACTACACTATAAACGCCACCAAGTAGTCACCAAACCGCTAACACCGACTACCATAAAAGAGGGAAATGTTGAATATATAATTTTTGAAATGTCAACAAGAATTTGCTATCAGACCATGCGCGCCAAGTTGTTATAAAAAGTAATTCATTATAAATAATGGTAGGTAATAAACTTGTTTAACTTTTAGCACAGAAAACAGGAGTAGTATTGACAATTGCTTATATTTTTATGGCCCCCTGAGCCCTTCGCAATCAACGTCTATTTACACGTCAACAACAATGGTTATCAGCTGATCCCTAATGTTCGAATTTAGTTCCATTCAAGGATGATACTCGTTTTGACAGATAGACCGTATGTAATTCAGTGTACACGTTTTGGAACCAAAGGATTAGGATTCATTCATGAACGGTGTCGATGTTTTAGACCAGTCAATAATAGATTTTAAAAATCGTTAAATTTTTTTTTTATTTTATTTTCATTTTATTAAGTAAACCAGAAATGCGAAAAATTACAGTTTTTTGTCAGACACTCTCATCTAACAATTATTGTTTATTACTATTTATATTCTACATAATGTAGTATGTATTTTTCTCACTCAAAATTAGAGTCAATCAGAATCAATATAATCTAATTATGTTATTTTCCATTGATTAATTTTCATCGGTGTCACATTTAATTTCAACATTTCCATTCTGAACTTCATTCCTAGCTCTTCTACTTCTATTAAATCCATATTTTTGAACAATTCATTCCTACATTCTATAGGTACCTACCTATAAAGATTTGTTCAAGAAAAACAAAGTTTTGAGTAATAAAAAAATGGAGCTCTATGTTCCAATACAAAACTTTATTCAATTTATTAATTAGCTTCGAAATACTGAAATTTTGCAAGGAAGCATAATTAATTTTATAAATTATTAAAAATCAATTTTAGGATATTTTCACGATTCTATTTAATAGAATATCTCTTCTTTTTTCTTTCGAGTCGTAAAATCCTTCTAATATTATTTTCTGTTATAACGTTGCAAAAATTGTTAATTTTCGCATATTGGGGATAAACAATAGTATATTGTTTATTAGGAGTAAAAATAATACTTTTTGTGGCGAGGTAGTCCAATCGTCAGAGGTTTGTCCCCTAAAAATCATACTAACAAGCTAAATTTTGCTGGAAATATCAATTTTGGGACCCCAAAATAGATGCAAAAAATTTCCCACTTTTACCTCTGGGCTTCCCCCTAAAAGCACCCATGTAGTGGGGTGAAAATTTTTAAAAATCGATTTACCAAGAACCTGTACGCCGTAGAAAAAATGTTTCAAATAAAAAATGTAGCTGAGATGATTTTGAACAAAAATGTTAATTAGTACTTTTTCTATAAAAAGAACTGTTCTCTCAGAAACAGTGCTTGAAGCGACCGGCGATTTTGAATGTCAGTTGCGCACTCGAAATCAAAAATAAAATGTGTATTAAGTCGACGATTAAAACTCGATATCTTTTGATCAGAGTGTCCTATCGACAAAAACCAAAATGTGTTTTAAAGGTGAAGAGTGCAGCTTTTGTAATTTGCTGCAAATGAAGTCAGTTAAATATGACTAAAAAATGCAGAATTTAAACTTTTACATTACAACCAATCGCAAGTCACGGAATATACCTCCAAGTAGATGTTTTTGAGTGTCATCATCATCATCATCAAAAATGAGATGTGAGATCGAAGATGTGCAGAGGTGGATAGGTATATGGGTGGAACAAGAGTTGGGCAAGCTTGGAAGGTGATAAAGTCTCTCCGGAGGGAAGGAAAGGAAAAATCTAACTTACAGTTAATACATTTGAAACAGTGGAAACACCATTATGAGGTCTTACTGACACAGGATAGAGGTAAATTCCAAGAGATCTAAATGGAAGAAATATCCGAACACACACAAATAATTGAGATAACAACCGGAGAGTTAAACGATGTCCTCAAAAGATCAAAAAAGGTAAAGCAGCAGGACCTGGAGACATCCCATTTGAGTTGGTAAAGTATGGACCAAAAATATTACATGACATGTTGGTGCAACTATTTAACAAATGCTTAAGACATTCTATCTCCGGCTTCTATATAAAATGTAGCTTCTCCAATTTTAAAGTGTTTGTTTGTCTTTGTTTAGTGTATTTGTTATGTCCCAATTTACATTTATGACATTCTGTTATTGGTGGATAGGCCACAACTGACGAAATGTCAATGAAGATGATCTTGTGATCGAAAGTACTTGGGCAAGATTTGATTAAATACTGTGTTCGATATTTGCCTTGTGTACCATCAAAGTACATTTATTCGAACATTCAACCTTATATTAAAATGCTTAAGAGGCCAAAATATCCCTGATGATTGGAATATTGGATACATCAGCTTAATAGTAAAGAAATGGGATAAACGCAAATGGTCTGGGGAATAACTGTTATCAGCTCAGTGGGGAGGTTGTACGGTCGAATAATAAAAAAAAGAATAGAATCAGAATACGAAGATATAGAAGAACAAAATGGATTTCGTGCAGGAAGATCGTGCACTGATGGTATATTCGTTCTGCAGCAGGTAATCGAAAAACGAAAGGCAAGGAATCTATCTACCCACCTATTGTTTGTAGATTTAAAGAAGGCATAGGATACGGTACCTTTGAAAAAACTGTTTCAAACATTGACGAAAGTAGGTCTCAGTAGAGACTAGAGATCCACATATTAGAAAACTAAAGAAAGAATATGAAAAATGGGGCCTCAATATGAATATGTCAAAGACAGAGTATCTTAAAATAGGAGAAGATGAAGAAGATCCAGAGTTAGAAATTAGAAACACAAAAATATGCAAGGAATATAAATATCTCGGATCTATAATATCTAAAGAATGCACTACCAAAAGAGACATCGAAAACAGAACGCAGCAAGGAAAAATAGCATTCTCAACTATCTACTATGGTCTAAAGATATTAAACAAGAAACGAAATTGACAATATATCGAACCTTGGTAGAGCCTATTATGACTTATGGGGCAGAAGTTTGGCAGATCACGAAAAAAGATAGAAAAAGAATAGTAGTAGAAATGGATTTTCTAAGGAGAGCGTGTGGTGTATCCAAAAAAGATCATATCAGGAATGAAGATATTAGAAGGAGGACAAATACTGTATATTCCAGTGTAGACAGAATTGAAACGAGACAACTAGTGTGGTATTGTCACGTAAAGCGAATGAATGCAGATAGACGGCCAAAAAAAGCTTTAAATTACATACCACAACAAAGAAGAAGAAGGGGAAGGCCTTCAGTTGCCTGAGAAGAAAATGTACGACACATAATGAGAGATAGAGCCATCAAAGAAGACGAATGGATGGAAAGAAAACGATGGCGGTCTAAATGTGAGAGGCGGCAGAGGCTGTAGGAACCTCGCTTATATATATATATATATATATATATATATATATATATATATATATATATATATATATATATATATATATAGTAGTTTTGAGTTTCTTGAACCGTATTATATTTAGGTTTTGTGTATCTTTTTTGTATATTTTATTTAGGTTTTGTGTATCTTTTTTGTCATTTATTGCGTTGGTGTTTCTTTTTATTTCTATTGATTCGTATATCTCCCTCTTCTTTTTGTTTTTTTCTGTTTTTAAAATTCTGATGTTTTCAAAATCAAATTTATGCTTCTTCAAATTCTTTTAATATATTTCAATCTGATTTAAACAATAATAATATAACATCATAAAAAGCTCTTAAAGTCATAACATATCTCCACCTTACCTTTTTCGAAAACATCAACGATACGCCCATATAAAAATAGTTATATACTAATGACAGAAAACAATGAGATATCAGATATCAACTTTTATATGTCAGTTCGTTAATGTCTGTGTCACGTTTTACGTTTTGGTAAGTCATATATATTTACATATTTTAAAATATCTGTTTGTCCTTCAATATATACACATTTTAGAATCTTGACAAAGGCAAGGGTTTCCTGCCGAAACGTTGATTGATTGCAATGGAAAATAAAATCTAGTTCCACATGTAACATATCTTTATTGAACCCAAACTCAAGAAACATTAATTTTATATTATATATATATATATATATATATATATATATATATATATATATATATATATATATATATATATACCTAGAGCTAAGATTAATATTATTACTAAAATTAATCAGTCTTCCGGGTTGAACCGCGTCGATATCCATTTTGCCGAGCTTTCGGCATCCTCTCTGATGCCTTCCTCAGGGCTTCAGAGGTCTCAGTCTCACGAGCCCCCAGACACTACTACACTGTTCACTACTCTATCACTACTACTACTACTACTGATTTATGTCAACAACGATGATGGTTTACTGCAAGTCCAAAATTTCATTTAACTGCCTAATGACCAGTCAAATGACAATAAATCGCAAGTATATGGGAATACTCGTGTGCATATTTCTGTCAACATCACAATGAATCTGCCAAATATTCCCAAGCTGGGTGAATGAACTATGGCACACAATTCGCAGCCAACTTTGTGAAACATCATTTACCGGTTGGTCCTGATATAAAGTAAATGTAAGTAGAAAGGACCACATTAGCCATTTTTTTTAAACCGTAGGTGTTTTAATTACTTTCTGCAATGCTTTGGGAACATTTGTCATTTTTCTGATGAAATTATAGAACTTAAGTACTTAGTCTGTTTGGGTCAGTAGCAGCTAAATGTAATATGTTAACATTTTACTACACATAGAATAGAAGAATATAACCGAATTAGGAGAAGGAATATAGTAAGTAAATAGGTATGGACATGAAATTGAGGATACTCTTTGGAATTTAGAAAAAGAATAACGAAATCTTAATACTCTCTCAAGCTAGGTACTATGTACTACTACTATACAAGCTGAAGATAATTTCAATGCTAACCGCAAATCTTTAAGACAGAACAAAATAAAATAGTATCTCAATAGATTACACTAAATATGATACCAAAATCTCAATTTCGCAGAAACATTGAAATTGATGCTTTAAGTAAAAAGCAAATGATCAATACAAAATGCAATCCAACACATATACATCTAAGAACACAAGCAAAGATAAGGTTCTCTAAAACAATAGTTATTATTTATTTATTCATATCACACGTCAATCAAATCCAATACAATGAGTCCAAGAACTCTCTTATCAGTAATTTCATTGAGATTCATGAGAAAAACTTATGATACCTGCCTGATATAAGTACTAGATAAAGTGGTCATTGGGCACACTACAATTTAAAAAACCTTTTGTGTATAGTCTAAACACATCTATATTTCTGACTTGCGGATTTAGTCCAGAGTCCTTGCTTTAACAGGAACTTCGCCTTTACCTTCCTGCATGACTATTCACTCACTGGACATTTTTAATTATTATTGCTGACTTGATTGATAACATTTCAGTAATTTCTGTTCATTTTTGGAAATATGGGATCCAATTTCATCAATCCTTTTCATTGTTTCTAGTTCATCCTTGTACTACAAGGAGCTAAGTAATGGATGGTCACTCCCGCCAAAGCACTGCGTGTTGTGAGAAAACTAATGAATCCTGATACCCGGAGTAAAGCATATTTACCTTTCACTTCATTGTGCTCCCTCCAGAGAATGTGTGATCACAACTAATAGATAAGAAGCCCTACATGACAAAGTTTTAGTATTTTCAGTGATGAAGCGGAATTTGATATGAGTTAATATAATTATTAGCTTCAAGCTTATAAAATATTGTACACTGAGTTCAAAATCTCTTGAACCTAACACACTCATTTGGTAGTGTCAATCTATGAAAACAGACATTGCTGAAAACATTTAATTCTCTTCAGTGTGTTCTCATAGCAAAACAGAGAGGCACTAGTTTTTGCATTAGTAAAGTAGTTGAAGTATTTATTAATTTTTATCTAACAATCATGTTAAATAATATATATTAATTCAGTATGAAATTAAGTACATACATGTTTTTTATGATTCATGTGCTAACATTTTTTATGTTCTTGAGGTAATTCTAATAAAATCTGATATGGCTTTAGAATGTCCTGAATATATATTCAACATATAGAACATTATAATGGGCTTTTTCATATTTCTTTCCAGTTAAATGCTATACATGTACTAAATAGACTATTTGGCAGATTTCCAGCTGAATATCCTCCTTCTTCATTTTTTCCATATGTCTTATGCATTTTGATATTGTAATGATCTATATATTCATTATATCATAATTTTTATATTTTTCCTTCCATATGACTGTGAACTTCATTATAACTACCTCGTTTGTTCTTTAGGATCTGTTAAATCATTATTATTTTTTTCTTCTATGTTCTTAACCAATCATTATCAACTTTCAAAGTGTTGGTTCAGAAATTTTACTATCGAGCATTGTAACAAATTATAAATAACTTTGACAATAAATAATTATGTATTTTAAAAGTATATCATTGCATTATACTATAACCATGATATCAAAATTACAAATTATCTATTCTAGTTGTTAAAAACTATAAACATTAACAAATTACATCTAAACACCATTTAGATAAATAAAAATATACATTATTCATCTCCCCTTAGAGCTCTATACTTGCTCAATTCATTAGGAAATGTTCTACTGAGTTCTACCAACATGTTAGCTTTGAATTTCCTATAAGCATCTATCTTTCCTTTAACTTGTTCGTTTTTGGCAAGAGCTTTTTCAATACAGTCTTTTGTGTATAATTGAGGATTGCGCCCTTGGTCTATGTAGCTAAAATAAAACAAATATAAGAGAAGTCATTAAAAAATATTAAATAAATCGTACTCAAATACTTCTAATGGAACGTGAACATCCTGTACTTGTGCTTTGAGCTTGTCAACTTCTTGTAGGCCATGGACTAATGCTTGTCTAAAAATGTTTACATTGTTTACAATTCATTTTACAGAAGAGTGATATTTAAAACTGTAGTACTAAGACACAATACTTACAATTTTTGATTTAATACATTTTGGCTCTGGGGCTGAAAATCACTTACAATAATGTGGATTTGACGAACATTTTCTATAAACATTTCTAACTGTGTTTCCAAATTTTCTAATGACGATGAAGAGGCCATATTCAGTATCTAATTATAAACTACAGTAATGAGTATTTATTTATTATTAATGTTTTTAAACCAACAGAAAATTATCATAACAATCTTCTACAAATGTCAGCTGTCAGTCATCATGTCATTTGTCATTCCATCAGCAGATATACCATTTCTGCTCATTTTTTTGTAAATTTATTTTTAATTCATTATATAATATACTGTCATTTGATTTTTGTTACTTTTGTGTGTGTGTGAAGCATCAAGTTGTGTGAAGACAAAATTAATAGTTTATAAACTAATTACTTTTATTTTCCAAATTTATCATTATAGGGAAATAATTAAAATGTTGGCAACACTTTTACAGGTTAGAAAAAATTGACAGATATGTCATCTTTTTAGAGGGTTGCCTAACGCTAACTCTTGTATCTCATCTTGTGGAATTAGAATATTAAAAAATAGTGAATATTAAAGAAAGTATTAATAAAGCAATCATGGCAAAGTTCGACTTAACTTCGAAGATGGGCCAGTATTTAGACCGGCATCTTGTTTTTCCCTTATTGGAATTTTTGTCCGCAAAAGGAGTAAGTATAGGTTAGGTTTGTTGTTAGGTGTGCTAACATATTTATTTCTTTTTGTAGATTTACAATGAAACTGAACTCTTAAAAGCCAAATTAGATATTCTAAGCAAGACTAATATGATAGATTATGCTATTGATATTCGAAAACAACTTTACCCCGATCAGGAAATACCCGAGGACCTAAAACAAAGGCGTAATCATGTTGTACAGCAGCTTGCAGAGTTGCAAGAAGAAGTTAAACCTATCCTTAAGATTATGGAATCTGAAGAAGTTATGAAGAATATGGAAAACATGAGAGATTCAAAAACACTTATTACATATTTGTCGAAAGAATTCAAGGTACAAATTTACTATATAAGAGCCACAATTCCATGAAAAGGTTGTCATCGTTACTTTCATAGTAATCAACCTTAAAGGAATGCTTTAAAATTATTTTGTTAACATTGGCATTGCTATGCAGAATACCCTGTAAAGGTATTAAAAAACAGATGCAAATGTATAACTGACTATTCGTATCATTTAAACATTTGCTTTGGAAGGTTTTATACTTATGCAAAAAAATTGTTAGTACTTATATTAATAATCCTTTGAATATAAATTTATTTTTCTTTTCTAGTTTGAAATTGAATTGATTGACAGTCTTCACAAACTAGCCAAATACAGATATGACTGTGGCAATTACACAGTATCTACATCATACCTGTACTTCTGTATGCTGGTATTACCTCCCAATGACAGAAACTATCTTAGTGCCTTGTGGGGAAAATTTGCTTCAGAAATTTTGTACCAAAACTGGGATTCAGCACTGGAAGATCTCAACAAATTGAGGGAATATATTGATTCAAGTCCTAATCAGTTTTCTGGTAACAGTTTGCAGCTTCTACAACAGAGGACTTGGTTGATCCATTGGTCCCTCTTTGTGTTCTTCAATCATGTCATGGGCAGAGAATTGATTATTGAAATGTTCTTGTATAGACCACACTACCTCAATGCCATCCAGACCATGTGTCCTCATATTTTGAGGTATTTAGCTACAGCTGTAATTATTAATAGAGGAAGGAGGTCGGCACTGAAGGATTTGGTAAAAGTTATTCAGCAGGAAAGCTACACTTACAGGTTTGTAAATATTTTTTAGGATTGGAGACCCTAGTAGTTTTTACCTGAAAAAACTTTATATAAAAGACCATGCATTTTTTGGACAATGATTAGTTTAAGGCCATCATAATAATATACTAAGGATAGAACCTATGAAAAAACACTTAGTAGTAGCTAGTAACAATGTCTGACTCTTGTTTCTGAAATGTCAATGGTGTACAAAAAAACCTTTTGGTACATGTACAATGTTATTTATTTTTGTTTTTATTTACATTTCAATAAATTTAGATATAACATGTAGCATTGTAAAATTAAAAAAATATTATTTTAATAACATATAAAATATATATTTTACAGTTACATAGTTGCAAATCACATGTCACTGATATGACTTTGAGGTGAGAAAATATTACGACAACAAAAGTGTTATAAAAATATAATTCTTAACTTTCTTACATATTCATAATACTTACAAATGAAACATAATCTTATCTTTTGTTGTCTACTGTGTTTTCGCTTTATTACATATAGTAAAACCCACCATAGTGTATACAACTTGTATTCAATACTTCCAACAACAATGGACTGCAAAATATTTAAAAATTAACAAATTTATTGATTTAAAAAAAGAATACATTATATTATTCACATAACAGGTATCATCATGTGTTAACATCATGATACCTATTATGTAACATTAAAATATCAGGGATAGGACATTGTAGCTATTAATGTGATGTCAGTTCCTTCTTCCTGTCATGTTCCATCCTTAGGATATTATATTAATATTTAGGGCAATGAACATAACGCAAGATTTTTTTGGCATTGAATGTAAGCATAACATAATATGTCAATGTTGCTATATTATGGTCAATTATTTCATACTCTTACATTACATAAAGTTGCATTTATAAAATACATTCTTGTATATAATAAAAAGCATTAAAACTTAATAAAAGTTAATAGTTTTGAAACACCAATAAATTAAACAGTTTTAAAAAGTAAAAGTAAAATGGGAGAAATGCTAATGGTTCTTAAATCAAAGTTTGTTAAAATGAAAATAAAAAACTTATAAATAAAAAAGATAAATGAAGATAAACAAAAGAAGCTTAAACCATCTTATGTTGTACCACACAGATCAACATTTAGCTAATCTTTAGTGCCAGCTAAATATGATAGAAAAGTTCTTGAAGTTAAAGCTCTTCTCAAAAACTGCTCAATATACATAATTAAGTACCAACAGTTGGACTTCTATTAATACTGATGGATATGTAGCAGTTACAGAACATTTTATAACAATTGTTTGGCAGTATTACAGGTGTTTGCTGTCTTCTTTTAAATATGTTGGGAGGCATACTGTTGAAAATATAGCAGGGGAATTACAGCAAGTTGCAGATGGATGGAGTATTTCTGACAAAGTATATGCTATAACCACTGACAAGGGGGTAAATATAGTAGCAGTAAAAATAACTGGTTGGGTGCATATTCCTTATTTTGCGCACACTGTCAATATGATTGTTAGGAATGGATTGGTGCACATAGAGGGGATGATAAGTTTACTGACAGAAGAAGAATGGTTACTATTAGAGGAACTCTATAAAATATTAAAACCATTAGAGGTTGTTACTGTAGAAATGAGTTCCGAAACTGAAACAACTATGTCCAAAGTAATTCTTATTAAAAAGGGGGTAATTTCATCTTTAGAATGAATTAGAGTTTAAATTACAAGTCAGTTAGGAAGAGAATAATTAATACATTCATTGCTAGCCTCAATAACTACACATTTTGGGTACCACGAAAATAATATAATAATGGGAAACTCATCTTTTCTGGTTCCAAGATTTAAAACTAAAGTATTAGATAAGGTTGACTGTTTAAAAAAAGTTACAGAGAGGGTTCAAGAAGATTTAGTTAGACGATACAGCCCCAAGTCTTCCAATGGTACACATCAGTTACCGTTGACAGAGATGTCAAGTACAGAAAGTGACAACATCATTTCTTCAAATAAAGTTGTCTCCGGATATCTACAATGAATGTTTTCAGGTATCTTCATAATGTGGCACTCAATCACTTGCATGTTTTTTTGTCTTTGGCAGAGAAAGATTTAAACTATTGAGTTTCTCATTTATAGGTTCTATTCCAGTTTTATTGTAAAGCATTCTCTTTGATGAATTAGGAAGTGGGTCATCAGGATGATGCATTCTAGTCATCTGATTTGTCAAAGGCTGGCTGTTCCATCCACTTTTGTATTATTTTTAGCAAGACCAATTTATTTTATAAAATATTAGCAGCAGTTTCAATCAATTGAAATTCCCTCATACTTGTATGTTAGCTTATAAATGTTTTGCTCTAATTATAATTTTTCTTTTTATACATTGTGTGTGGCAGTTGAACTTTAATTTGTTGCCCTATTTTAATTCTCAAATACTTGACAATTGGGAGGGTTTAATTATATTGTTACTTAAGTTTATAGTTGGAGAGTGATCTTGGATTCTATGGTTAAATATTATTAGTTGTATTTTAGAGGGATTTATTATTAATCTCCATTTATTGGCCCAAGATTTTGTGTCATTCACCTGCCTTTGTAATATGTTAACTCTACTTTTAGGCTATTGATTATGTGCTTTAGAAAGGAACTACAACATTTAAGTAGTTTTATTATTTCATATGGTCAATGGACCTCCCAAATATGAAAAAATTGCTGAGAGCTACCATTTAAAGAGGTGCGTTTTTGAGAATGAGGTGAATTAGTCTCTATACACTAGGATGAATTTAGGTGAATTCTATGCACTTTTCGTACTAGTCACATTTTAAGTCAAAAATATTTTTTTCTCAAAAATATATTAAAAAAAAATGAAGCAAAAAAACATGAATTCAAATTGACGTTAGGTAGAAGTCACAGTATACAAAGAAAATTTTTCAAGGTTCGCCACTCACACCATTTTTTGGTCATTTTCCCTATTTTTTCGCAAACATTTTTCAATGTAGCTTTAGGTATATGCAATGGTACATTAAATGGAAAGAAACAATAATCACCTTTAAAATTGCCTATTGTATAAGGCTCCATATCATTAAGCATGATATGGTTCTTTAAAGTTTTCTACTTGTAAAAATTTTTGCTATTTACAGCAAAAAGCTGCACTCTTCACCTTAAAGGCCATTTTAATATTTTTCAATAGGACACTCTGATTAAAAGCTATTTTCTTTCTCAAAAACGCACCCACTTTCATGTACCTTCTTAATGTTCATCTACCATGTCCTTTCAGAACATTGGTTACCATCATAGCTATCTTAATTTTATTCACTGCCACCCTAAATAGCATGTTTAAATGGTAACATTCCTCTGTTTTTTCATATTTGGGGGTTTGTTGACCATATCGTCCCTACCATTTCCAACTATCGAATCTGAAAAGTGGTACTTTTCAGGAGAGCAAAATAACTCTTTTTTAGAGAATTCTAAATCAGCGCTTTGACAAATGGAAAATTTTTTATATTTTTAAAAATTAATGTTTGATCCTTGTTAGATTGATATCAGAATAAAAGTGCTTACCGTTTGCTTCTTTCCACAAAATCACATTCGTTATTTTGCTTTTTGTGTTAATCAACGATTTGTTTTGGTCCAATGTTTTAAAATTGCGAATGTGGCATTTTCGACAGTTCATATTTGTATAATTTTAGCACATTGATTTGGTGCAATGTTTTAAAATTGCGAATGTGGCATTTTCGACAGTTCATATTGGTCTAATTTTAACACATTAATATTCTTAATTGAAAAGGAGGAAAATGAAAATAATCTTAATGTTCTTACAAAGTTTATTACAAAATATTTAATTAAAAATTTAAGTTATAGGGTAAAATGGAAAAATCATGTATAAAGAAATTATTAAAAGTATTTTTATGAAAGTATGTATTGATCGAAAACTAATGTAATTAGAAAAGTTAAAAATAATCACAATACAATTATGGAACTTCACGTCCTGTAGATACCTCAAGTAATCAGTAGTAAAATAATGATAAATTAAAGTAAAATCTTAAATGTTAGATTCAACGTTATCATTGTCTTCAGTTGCGTCAGGTTCTGGAATACAATCTCTGGCAGTATTAGATGTTGGTAAAGATTGGTAATATTGGTGGTATGGCCTAGGTACATAGTGACAAGAGGTTTTTTTTCTTCACATCCGTGATTGAAAGTATTTCGTCGAATGCCTTAATAAAGTTTATACTATTTTGTTTGCCTCTTTTTTGTATGGTTTCAAGAGATAAGAAGTTTCCGTCAATGCTAGTCTTCATGTAAATTTTGTTATTTTCATTTTTCCGATATTGGTACCATATACACTGTGTGGACGACGTCCCAAAGGCAGCATTCTTTAATATTTTTTTAAATAATTCTCGCTTTGACAACATCACTGTTTTTGGTTTAGCTATACCCAGTTAACTGAATAATCAGATAATGAAAAACCGATAAAAACAAGATAATAAAGTTCCTCACGGAAAGAACTTCTTGGAAGAAATAATTCAAACCATTATTGTGAATACGTGCGTTTTGTTCTTGTCAGCAATGTTTAGTATTTTTAACATTTTGCAAATTATAATTGAATAACTGTATCAATTACAACTCTGAAACTAATGTATGTAACACATTAAAAAACAAAATAATTAAGTGCCTCACCGAAAGAACTTCTTGGAAGCAATAATTCACAAATTGTGAACACGTGCGTTTTGTTCTTGTCAGCAATGTTTAGTATTTTCGACAGTTTGCAGATTATAATTGAATAACTGTATCAAATACAACACTGAAGATAATGAATGTGACACATTCGTCATTTTGCATTGTACATATATATATGCCTTTAGTTATATTTATACAAAACAAAATATCGAATATTCCATTTTCGTCAGTTTGCAGCATATTCGATATTTTGACCAAAACAAAATGACAAAATGTTCATATTCGATGGTTTAGACAGAATATTTCCCGCGTTTCTGATCAAGCTACGATTTCGATATTTTGCTACAAGGTGTATCACGTTTAATGCAAGGACAAGGTATCGAATCTGAAAAACCCGATTTTTCACATTCGATAGTTGGAAATGGTAGGGACGATATGAAACAATAAAACCACTTTAACATTGTAGTTCCTTTTAGCTCTTTTTTTTTAACAAAATGAATAGCCTATAATAAATTTTTACTAAAGGATATCACTACAGTGTCATCAGCAAATTATAACAAATTACTAGCGGTTGGTTCATTTTCACATGTCACTGCAGTAGAGGTTATACAATAGAGGAGACAGCTATGAACCCTGTGGAACTCCTTGTTGCATTGAAAATGATTGGAAATATGTTCCATTAATTTTGACTATACAGATGCGTCTTTTAAGAAAACTACCAACAATCAATAGTAGTGAAAGGGAACAGTTCATCCTGTGAAGTTTGTTTAATAATTCTTTATGCCAAACGGAGTCGAAAGCCTTCTTGATATCCGAGAAATCTCTGTCAGTCTTCAATCCTTGTAATCCTGCTTCCTGTACATTGGATGTTACTATTGAAAGAGGATCTATTGTTAATGATTTTTCCTTAAATCCAAACTGGTGCGCTGGAATATATTGGTTTAATTCTTCATATATTCTTCCTTGGATAATTTTTTCAAAAACTTTTCCTGAATAGTGGTTGGACAGTAATTTTGGAATAGTGTGTGGTTACTATTAGATTTGGAAATAATTATTACAATACTTGTCTTCCATTCATCAGGTAAGAAATGATTTATCATACAGTAGTCATATATGCTACTTATTTCTTTATGAATCATAGGATCTAGTTGCCTAAGGATTTTACGATTGCTGGTATTTTTGCCTGGAGCTGTGTTTTTTATTTTATATAAAACTTCGTCATATTCATCTTTTGTGATGATCCGAGAGGCATTCGGATTACAATTTGTTCTCATAAAAGTTTCCAAACCAATTATTCTCCTCATTTAAGGTATCTCTATCAAAATTATTGTCCATATAAATTATACTATATAAATTAATAACATAAATAATAACTGTATAAATTAAAACAAACTATATTTTTGCTTAACAGTTAAACAATACTCACAAACAATAATTCAAAACTGTCACATTTTGGAAAAATATTGAGGAATAATCTTGTCTAGTATTTTGACGTCAAGTTATTAATCAAAATAGGCAGGGAAAACTGGATTTGTGTTGTGTGAATATGGAGTGTTGAAAAGAAAGAGTTACTGAAAGGACAATTGAAAGAATCAGTGCAAATAGTCAACCAATAGAAAGAGTAGAAACATTCACCTAACTTGGTATGAACGTCAATGAAAATTGGAACCATTCCCTAGAAATAAAATCTAGGATAGAGAAAGCAAGATCTGCATTTCAAAAAATGGCTAAGCTATTTAAATGCCACGATTTATCAGTACCCATAAAAATCAACGATGTTACATCTTTCCTATACTGTTGTACGAAGTTGAAACGTGGACTCTCACAGACGCCACCTGTAAGAAAATTGGGGCTTTCGAAATGTGACTTTATCGTCAGCTTTATATAATCCTGAAGATCCTATACCGACCACGTTAATAACCAGGACGTTTTATTAAGAATGCAAAAAGGAAAAGAGTTGTTGACCACAATAAAAACAGTCAAAATTGAATACCTCGGTCACATCATGAAGAACAGCAAAAGATATGAGTTGCTGCAATTAATTCTTCAAGGAAAAATAGAAACAAAACAAGGACCAGGAAGGCAAAGAATTTCCTGGCTGAAAAATCCATTTACATGGTTCAACACAACAACCACAAATTTTTTCAAAGCCACAGTTTGCAAAATATAGATTGCCATGATGATCGCCAACATCCGAAACTGACAGGCACTACAAGAAGAAGAAGAAGAAGAAGAAGCAACATGTTTAGAGGCGATATCCTCATCTGTTTGAAAAGAAAGGTATTCAATCAGAGCATGCTTCTTGTTTTCACATATCTTTATTTGAGTTAGCAATTTCTGGATCTTAGTGATAGCCTTGTGTGATCTTCACTTTGTTACACAATGACAGATGGAAAGATCGATGTTTGTGATAACTCTCAAAGGTGGAACACAAAACAAGGAACTATGTCAATGGATGGGGTCAGTGATGCCATAAAACCAATAGCGACACTGAAATGGAATTGAACAGGCAAAGGTGGACACTTCCAATGGAAACTTCCAAGAACTGTTAGACATGGCAGAAGTGTACTCAACTGATAAAATAAAACGAACTGCTAGCAACTGGTTAAAAATCACAAGAATACTACGGCTAAATTGAACCAGCGTACAGATTTTTTTTATATTGTCCTCCATTTTTGTTGTGGAAGGGCCACCTGGGTGGGAGTTAACGTTTACTCGCCCATCTTGAAAACTCTTAAAAACACTATAATAGCATGCGATAAGTATTCATTGCCATACATTTTTTTCAATAAATTATAAGTTTCAGCAGCTGTGTTTCCAATTTTCACATAAAATTTAACAACAATTCGTTGCTGTATCATTATTTTTCGACAAACTAGAACAACAGCTCTAATAAAAACGAATTCTACGACTATACTGATTTATTTACAGAATCTAGAGTTACTGCATTTGAAAGAGAAGGCAGTCGCTGGTTTTTGGCGCATGCTTACTTCTTCTGTAGTAGCATCAGTATCGTTAGTTAGGCACATTTTATATTTATCTGTGTTATGGGTCAGATTGTTATACGATGGATTCGTGATCAACGGAATCGTATTAATCAATTATTTACAAGAAGAATATTTAGTAGACCTCAAAAATATAATTATAATGTTTAAAGATCACTTTAATATATTAAAGCGACACTTTAATGGACTATTTTTTTTTGTTTCAGGGATCCCATTACAGAATTTTTGGAACACCTTTACGTCAACTTCGATTTCGATGGAGCTCGTCAAAAATTACATGAATGTCAAACAGTTTTACTAAACGACTTCTTCCTAATTTCCTGTTTAGACGAGTTTGTAGAAAATGCAAGACTTATGATCTTCGAAACATTCTGCAGAATTCATCAATGCATTAGTATAGGTATGTTAGCTGAAAAGCTCAACATGAATCCAGACGAGGCTGAATGTTGGATCGTGAATTTAATTAGAAACGCACGATTAGACGCTAAGATCGATTCTAAATTGGGGCATGTGGTTATGGGTGCACAGCCTTTATCGCCATACCAGCAACTTATTGAAAAAATTGATTCCCTTTCGGTCAGGTCAGAAACTCTGTGTGCTCTTATTGATAGAAAGCTCAGAGCGAGGACTGACGTAAGTTTCTAAAGGTATGTTAACGAAATGATACAAGAATTTGTCATTTTTGTTACAGATACGGTGGGGAAATCCAGATTTTTAAATAACGGTTATTTTGTAATAATTTTATTGGATATAAATAAAAGATCTTTCCAGTACGTCTCTATTTATTGTAAATTTGTAAAAAAAAATTTCTGTTAATTTGCGATTACAATCTGGTCATAAATTTTTATCTATCCTAAATTACTAAAGTTGCTTGAAATCAATAGTTTACCCTATAGTGTTTTCTTAATCTAGTCTGATAAATAACGCACTAATGTTAACGTGCACTACGCGCCCAAGCACATGCTCTGTTTTTTCACTCACACTTAAACGAATTCGAAGAGCTCTGTCTTCTTCAGTCTTCTAGTTCGCCCTGTGATTTCAAGGAGCTGGTTTATTTTAACACTCATATGACAATCGAGTCGTTTTTCATGATTTTCAGCGGTCTTCTTGATAATTGTAGCCACAGTCTCTGTACCCAAGCTCTTATAGAGACCGCTGCTCTTCATGTACCAAGGAGTATTCACAATGTCTCTCAAAACTTTATTCAGAAATTTCTGGATTATTTCTATATTACTTTTCTTAGCACTTCAGAGTTGGCTACCATAAATCCAAATAGATCGTAGTATTTGTTTATAACGTAAAGGCTTGTTGTATATAGAGAGGACTTTCTTCTAAGCATCCAATTCATTTTTTTGTATCTTATACCAAGTTCTTAACATGAACTTTCCAGCGTAGTTGTGCATTTAATATTATACATAGATATGTTGCCGTATTTGCATATGGTACTTGGTTATTATTAATTTTTAACTGGTATATTTTGTATCTTTTTATTGGTAAAGTTAAAGTGTACAGATTTATTTTCATTGATCCTAATTTTTTATTTTTTGCCCAGGAATGTATTTTGTTAAGTGCTGTTTGTACTTTGTTTATTGCCTTATGGTATTATGTTTTAATACAGGTATTATAAAGGATAAGGTATTAATACAGGTTAAATAAAGGACCGGGTCCAACACGCTACCTTGTGGAACTCCTGCTCTAATTTCTCTTATGCCTGAATAGGTGTTGTTTATGTCTTGTCTTATATGAGACTATGAGACTGTAAAATTTGCAAATATTGTTTCAATTTTGTTTCAATAATTGTTTTTATTCTTTTAAGTAGGAGAGTCTCAAATACTTTCGATATTATAGGAAGTAGTGATATTGGTCTACATGAAGAAACTTCATTGGGAGGTTTTCCTGGTTTAACAATCATTATGACTTCCGCTATTTTCCGTAATCTAAGTTAATGCATTAACCTCAAAGCAGCATTAAAAAGATTAGGAAGTTTCACAATAGCTTTACAAGGTTTTCAGTACCTCACCAGTGATTAAATCATAGCCTGGAACTTTTTTGGGTAGTTATTTTCTTTTATTTCACTCATTATTTCTTTAGGAGATTGGTCTTATTATTTTCTCTACTTGAACTGGTTCTTCCAAACTTTGCTAATCTTATTCGCTTTCATTGGATTTGAATGTGTTTTCAAGGTGTTTAGCAAATTTGTGTGCTGTTTCTTCATTGCTCCTGGCCAATTACCGTCCGCTAGTCTAATGGGTGGAGAGTGGATAATTGGTCTTTTAGTTTTTTTGTAGCTTTCTATAAAGAATAATCAGTTCTCTTGTCTGTCATTTATCTGGAGACTGGTTTTGGTGGTTTAAGGGATGTATCCGTTTTTTGTAATTTTTTCTTTTACTCTAATCCGTTCCGTCAATTCCTTGTCGCCTGTGCAGTATTCAGCTTCTTTGGTTGGTTCTTTTCCTCTTTCTTCTGTCTGGTTGTGTTTGCAACTGTGATGTGTCTTTCGAATGCGTGTGATGTGTCTTTCGAAAACGGCAACAGTTTCACTTAAACAGATTGGAAGCTTTCGAAATGTGGCTTTATCGCCGTATCCTAAAAATACCATGGACAGCGAAAATCACAAATATAGATGTCCTTAAAAGAATAAACCAAGAACGCCAACTTTTCGAAACCATCAAGAAAAGGAAAACGGCGTATCTAGGTCACATCATGCGAAATGAAAAATACCAGTTCCTCCAACTTATAATCGAGGGTAAAATTGAAGGCAAGAGAGGAATGGGACGCAAGAAAATGTCCTGGCTCCGAAACATAAGGCAATGGACAGGGATTAACGACATACAATCTCTGATACATATTGCAAGAAATAGAGAGTTAATGGAAAATGTGATCGCTAACATCTATTAGTGGATTTGCATCTGAAGAAGAAGAACAGTTTCACTAAATTTAACCTTGTGATTCTCGGCAGCTTTTCATTCGGCATATTCATTTGTTGACCTCTGACAATTCTCTTGAAAAAGCGCTTGATTGGCTTGCGCTAAATTCGTTTTATTTTGTGTAGTTAATTGAAACATCATGCATTCATTAATTATTTTCGAGATTACTTAATGACGGTAAAAACCAGTCATCAGATACCACTTACCATAAATGATTTCCTTATTTATTTATAGATAAGACAGGTCCACACAAACATCCTTACCATTAAGTAGTAAAATGAATAATGAATTTGTAAAATGTGCAAGATATAACACTGTCTAGTCTTTTTGTAGGCAGCTAAGTTGTAAAGGTTATCGATCTAATTAATTGGCAAATAAAAGTATTGGAGTTCTTGAACGTTGTTTTTGACTAAAGTAATGATAAAAAATAGATCGTTTGGTTTTTGTGCTGTCCGTCCGTGGATGAGTGCAGTAAAAACTATATAAAAATTGATCAGGGATTCAGATTCGGTATTAAAAATTACGTACATGCATCCTCTGCGCTAACCTGTAGTGAATTTTGACAATTCGTCGTCAGTGCATGAACTGCATCACTCTTAAATCCTCTCCACGTCGTATTACCATTGCTTCCTAGATATATCCAGCCATACAAAGTTTTCCTCTATGGATATTCCTTTCTCTTGTCCGAGAAATGCCAATTTTCTTGACTTTATTAATCAAAATTATCCTCTCCCATCAACCCTTATAATTCAAAATTACTCAATTCTCCAAATTGCATCGCCGCGTCGTTTCGTGGATCCTTAAATTTTGCTTAAAAAAAAGTTGAAGAGGAAAATCTGTCTTTAGTTATATGAGCGGGGCAAATTTTTAATTAACACCTTCAAATATGATCATTATATGATTTGCCTACCAGTCCTAAATGATTATGATTGGTACTATACATTTTTATTTTATACGCACCAGTCTAAATAGACTGGTAGTGCTTAAGAAATGTGAGTGCCCTCTTTGTGTACGTTTTATAAGATAAGATTTATGTGCAGCGGTAGCAGTATACATGCAAGAAACGCAGAAACTTGTGGAAAACTGTATTAGTATCAGGTTATTCTGTTTGGTAAAACAAAAACTGAAATTCTTAAGAACTGCGTGTATTTTCAAATGAAACAAAACTGAAACTTTATTGTGAAACATATTGTAAAATACGTATGTATATAAAAGACTACAAAAATTGATGGTAATATTGTTAATATAAATCTCAAAATATATGTATTGTGTAACATTAAAACATGATAAACATAAAGCAGGTTTTCCCTCGCAGATATCACAATATACACTTTAGTTATCTTTTTATCGGCGTCTTTACTTTTCATTGTTGCTCTCAGATTTTTATAGCATTCTGTAAAATTTCAGCGGTAGCAGTATACATGCAAGAAACGCAGAAACTTCTGGAAAACTGTATTAGTATCAGGTTATTCTGTTTGGTAAAACAAAAACTGAAATTCTTAAGAACTGCGTATATTTTCAAATGAAACAAAACTGAAACTTTATTGTGAAACATATTGTAAAATACGTATGTATATAAAAGACTACAAAAATTGATGGTAATATTGTTAATATAAATCTCAAAATATATGTATTGTGTAACATTAAAACATGATAAACATAAAGCAGGTTTTCCCTCGCAGATATCACAATATACACTTTAGTTATCTTTTTATCGGCGTCTTTACTTTTCAATGTTGCTCTCAGATTTTTATAGCATTCTGTAAAATTTCAGATTTTTTAGTACCTGGTCCTTCAGGTTTGATCAGTACATGTTTTGTCTTAAAAGAAGACTGAACGTTTGTTTGTTCTGCAGATTCTGACTTATTGGCAACTCGAAAAGCGACTTCTTGGCAAAATTTTCAAGGCCACTTCTCATTTGAGGTTATCTCGAATATGAGAATATTTACATCTTATTGTAAATTACCCAGGTGTTCACTAAAGCTGCCCCAAAAATTAATTCCAAAGCAGCTTTTTTTTACCACTTCAAGGTCTTTCTAAGATCGGTTTAATATACTGATATTTAATCACTATAATCAACCCCCTTTTTTCGTTCTGTCTGATGTTGTGCTGTATTGTGCTCCCATTTACTTGTTATCATTAAAAGGGAGATCTTGCCATTTAATAATTTTTATTCCTCTTTGTTGCACATATCTGTCGCTTCATTAGATTTAATTTTGTTTGTAATAACCCAGTAAGCACAAGTACGTACATAAGACATACTAAGTATGTACTGATGGGACATAAAGTACGTACAATGTACGTACTTTGCTGTACCAAGTACGTACTTAATAAGTACATAAAACGTACATTTTCCAAATTATGGTACACTTCCCGTCATATAAAACTGGTACACTTTTTTTCCCAATGTAAACCTGTGTTTAGAAATCACTTCGTTGTTGCCATTACAGATAACGGAATTGCACTAAATCTAAATAAAAAAATAACGTTCAAAAATGTATAAAATTTGTAGACAGGTATTATTTTTATTGTTATAAAAAAACTAAATCTAAGAAATTAAATAAGCAGAGATAGGGTTGAGTTATTATCCAAAATATTTGAAGGATCTATAAACCTAGGGTATTGACACAGGAAACATTGGAATGCATCTACTGTAATTTTATACTTAAATTACCTACCGAACTCAAACTGTATTCTGTGTCAATAAAATTTGTAACAGGCAAACTACCAAGATTTATTTATTATTTATTACAAGAACGATCAAAAATGTGAAAAACTAACATTATACTTTATTCTACGTATTATATACTAAAAAATATTTGGTGCGAAAAAACGCTTTTCAAAACGTTACAGTTAAATTTTTAGGATGCATGTTTAAACAAATTTAATGTAACTGACTGATCAAGACTGCTCGATAATGTTTTACTGTTTAGTATACTCAAAACTGGTGTTATGTCACACAACCTTGCTTTTAACTGGTTTTATCTAATATTTTCGTTGAACTGGCAATGGTGCCCTAGAAATCAGAATGACACATTTGACAAGATCAACGTACACAACTTAAAAAACACGATTTTTGATTATAAGAGTTGTAACAGTTTTTTATGACGGGAACGGTACGTACCTAGTACGTACTGAAAGTACGTACCTGGTACGTACCCGGTTGTTTTGGTGGTAAAATTAAATTGATTGGTGAGTAAGTCTTATTTTATTTCTTTTTACCTAAACATTATTATCTTTAATTCCATTGGTCCTTCGACGGAAAAATCACTGCGCACATGCAATTAATAAATGCATAAAAACAGTGTATTTTTCGGCCGAGGGACAGACTGGTTCTTAATCTCAAAGCAAGACCAATTTTGCCTGAGTAGCCCATTTCAAAGAAACTCTGCGTTTTATTTTCTCACCTATTTAAGTCATTGAACTTCTATACTTCGTCAACGAAATTCTCCATACTTAGAAATTTTCTGGAAGTAAATAAAAAGTCTAACGACTTTGGAATTATTTCGCAAATAACGAGTGGAGCAACTTTAACAGCAGTTGCTGTTTGGCACCAAAATATTATTTGCTTGAAATAAAGAAAAGTCTGAAAAAAGGTTGAATCGTTAATGTTCGAAATAAATAAAAATGTGGATAGGAGTAAAAATTATTTCACAAATCATAACACAATCAACGTTTAATATTTGCTGATACTACGCATTAAGGAAGATAGTATCGATTGCACTTCGAGAAGGAGGAACCGACATCTCTGTTTAACAATCGAGATGTCTTTTAAGCATAGAGTAATCATGAACCTTTGTTATATAATATATTCATATTAAAATGTAAGAAGTTTCGAAATGCTAAAGTGTATCGTGGCTAAAGTACTCTATTGCCAGTAACATCCCGTTTACAGCAAAGCCCGCGGTTAGCCTTCGGCTAGTGACAGTCCGAACTACACCAAATACTCAAATAATAAGAAGATTGAACCGAAGAGTCTTTATTCCTCTTCTCGAGGGGCGGTTGGTAACCATCCAGGAATCCAAGATACTGCAGAGGATAAACCATGGCCTGGAATCTTATATGAATGACTTGGTTCATTCCCCCATCACTTTGACCCCAGCGAGTTAATAAAGAGAAATGACAGCCTATCTCTCTCACGAAGACTTTAACCAATCATAAACCAAATAAAATAATCAAACGAAGCAATGTCAATTCTGTCAATCCAAATTAATGACAGATCTTCCGTTTGTTTACAAGTTTTCAATTTTATTTTATTATCTTTAACTTTCGTTTGCATTTATTCTTAGTATTTTAATTTAAATTTGGTTACTTAATTTTTAAAGTTTATTTTGAGTTACCTATTGTAGCAAAGAATTTTTGTGTTGTGCTAGTAACAAAACTAAACATGGTGAATTATTGTATTGTTCGTTGTGTACAAATCATGGAAAAATTACAAAAAGAATGATAGTAAGTTGTCAGGAAGCAAAAAATAATAGTATTTAACTTCTGCAAATATGTGTAATAAATATTATGTAATTATTTTATAACTGTTTTATCTTAAACAACAAATAAATATACGTATATCTAGAAAAAATTGTGCATCTTATATCCTTATTTTCCAATAAATTTTAATTAGTAACGAAATAGCCCACAAGAGGCGCTAAAGGGTATGTATGTAAGGGGTGTTCATTCGAATTTGCCGCCAAAAGATGATTAGTATTGACCCCAGCCGCAAGGGGCCTAATGAACGAAATTTATACATTGAGTTGCCTATCTATTTCTACTATTATATTATTTATCTATGGGATAAACCGACTGTACGACACTTTTTCAGAAGGTGTTAACCCGGAGTGAGAAAAAGAGTCAAACGAAAGTAGAAAGCAGTGTTTCACTTGTAACATAGGACTTTGCCTCAATGATAAAACATCTAATTCAGTAAAATAAGAAAACTGTATGCAGTATGACCAGTTATACTAATAAATGGCTTACGAAAAAAAAAATGATCTGAGGGACGAATTATTCACGAAGCGGACCAGATACATAGAGGACCAGCAAGACTCGTTACTCGCTGAAAAACTGATGCTGTATGACTTGTGCAAAGCAAAATGCAAGTGCAATGTTGAATAAAAAGCACGTTTTCCAATCAATGAAGCAGAGAGAAACAGTTAAATTTAAAAATATTTTTAGTACATAAGTATTATTGTAACGTCTATGATCATTCGATTCGATTCTTGTCAAAATTAATGCGCTGACGGCTGACCAGTGAGAACGTTTTATCTTTGTCTTGTGTTCTGCCATCTCTCTTTATGTGGTGAGCATCCTTTCCGTGCGGTTTCTAACCTCACCTTTCATTTATTTCTGGTGTTACAAGTTACAAGATGGTGGAAGTGATAAATTAATAGATTAATAAGCAACATTTAATATATGATTAGATGTGAGAATGCGCGTAATAACTAGTTCTTAGTTTTTGTTTCTACTAACATATCCAGTAAAAGTTATTTGCTACATTTACGAACGGTAGTAGGAAGTAAGAATTATTTTAGTTTTCCTTACAGACCCTGTAGTAAGGTCTCTCCGATTGTTTATTAACAAATATATTTTTTACTTATTCCTTAAAATGTCTTCACTGCTTTGTAAAAACTATGTTGTCCGAGTATACCAAGAGGTAATAGATGACGTTATAGCTGGAGTGAGAGAACACTTTCTTGAAGACGGTGTAGATGAACTAGTTCTTCAAGAGTTAAAACAAACATGGGAAACGAAACTTATGAGTACCAAAGCTGTGCAGGAAGAACCGGAGAAAAAGAAAATTGAGCACCCTGCCAGCAATGGATATCCAAAAGTAGTCAATAATCCAATGCCACAAGCTACCAATCAACAGACTGTACAACAACCAACTCAGCAATTGCAACCGGCTATTCAGCACCTTGATAAACTAGTAAGTTTGATTAATTTGTTATTATTTTTATTATTCATTCCATATTGATTAATTTGTATTATATTCATAATAATAAGATTAATTCTGGGAAAAGTCAAGATTATTTCAAAATATGTGTTTGAGATACTGCAAAAATCTGATATATAATAATGTAATAGAATGATATCTATATATTTTTTCTTAAACTATTCTTATGTATTCAGTAACTATATTTAATGCAGTAACTGCAGTGATTACAGTAACATTCAACTGATTGTAAAATTGCTTAAAATTGCCATGTTAAGGTTATAGATGTTAAAACCCACTTTAGTGAGTTGATCCATTTATTAAAAGTATTTCATAATTTTATTTCAAATATTAAGAATGACAGTTGAAAGGTATATAGGTTCTTTTATCTAAATGTAAAATTTATGCCAGACCATCTAGGTCATCTCCTTATTAATTTCCTTATAATAGCTATAGGAATTTCACTACAAGCAGTAATTTCAAACTCTCTGTAGGCATTATAATTCGCATTTTCATTGATATTTTTAGAATAAAGGTATCTAACCATCTATCTCTCTATCTAAACGTATTTCTCCATGAATTTATCTATATTTTAACTTACTATTTGACTTGAAAACTTCATCTTCAAATTAGCTTAGATATTTTGTCCTTTTCATTCTGACATGTGTGAGTTAATGCTCTATCAAGAAGCAATAATGTTTTTTCCATTTTACCATTTTTTAATTGATGGACTCTAAACCAATCCATGAAAATTGTACTATCCACCCAAGCACTCTTTTAAAAGTGTAAACGATACACATCACATATATGGATGTAGTTAAGCAGAAAATGTCCAACCCAAAAAAGTGATTGTTGGGAAATTTTGTTTAAAAGTTTTTAGTGTGCCCTAACTAAAATATGCATAATTTAGTTGCCTGGCATTGATTTTAAGATAATGATATTCATCTCGTAGGCACCTCGTTTGTATTTTTTTAAATGTAAGATTGAATGAAGATATTTTGAAAATTTTATGTTGGATGTTTTTAACAAAAAACAAAAATCTGAAATTTTTTTCGATTAAACATACTTATGTGGGTTGGAATCTTTCAGATAAATAAATAATGTCATATTTTTACAAAATTTTTGATGATTCAAAGAAACAAAATTAAGTATAATGTTTTGCTTGTAAATTTAAAAAAGTTTTAATTATTTTGGGTATCTACCTCAAAATCTAGAATTGGAACATTAAATCCATCAATGTCTTCAACTACATTAGCACCTATAAAATTTTCATAAAATGGTTTAGTGTCCGAAGGAATTAGATGCTTTTAATATCGTTAATTTTATCCTCTGACAGGGCTTTACCATTGGGCCAGAGTTGCATAAGCAGCGCCGAAAAGCTCTCTGTGTTTACTCATCCTCGTCGCTCAATATTTCATCGCCAAAATAACTAGGTTTTATAAAGATCCAGGGAATCCAAAGACCAGGGAATTGTACTTTAGTTTTGTATAGATTATAAATCTTTAATAATAAGAGATGTGCCGGTAAAAATAATGCAGGCCGGTAAAAATAATGCAGACATGTTTTCACTACAGTAGTGTGATATGTACTTTGGCAGTTTATTGATCTGGTTGATTATTTCCTGAATTTTATTTTCAGGGACTTTGTTTAAACCACCTTGTTTTCTACCTCTTTGATCAAGAATTGGAGCATGATTGTTTACCTTTCTCAGAGCTGTTGTTACTCTTGACGGAGTTATTCTAAGACTATTGACAAACATTTGCCTACAAATACGCTGATTTAATAAGGAATATTGTCTGGAATACAGACGTCTTTCAGTGTTTCTTCCATATTCTTTTTTTCGGCATTTTGTGGATATTATTGACAATGAAGATAGTTTGGGTATTATAAGACCCAAGACTCCAAAAACGATCAAATTCCTGTTTTCGTGACTCTGTAGAAATCAACTCGGAACATTTCTCAGTTTTGTGTTATTTCTTCAATCTAGCTGAAAACCACGAAAAAAATAATCAGTTAACAACATATTGGTATTTTTAATAAAAAATTTCCGACTTACCTCAACATTGGTAATATTTGAGTCAAATTCCGTGTTAGATATTGCACTATTTGTTTGGTTTTCCATAAGTTTTGCTAGCTCACATTATGTATTTGCCTCTTTTCAACATAATTATTATTAAATAAATATTTTTAAACCCGAACAGTCAGAAAAATCAGACACAACTGAATAAAAATAAATGTTTATCAATACATAGGTACATTTACTTAATAAGATGAGTAACTATAATAAATTACTTTTTATCTACCAAGTTTGTCGGATGTCCAGAAAGAGTAGCTTAAGAAATTATTTATTTTCCATTTTTTTAATACTATAGTTTAAAGATTGAAATTTTTGTTTGCATTGCTTGTAAATTGATGGATATGAAAATGATCTATAAGTGAAACATATATTTTGAGATTGAACAATAATTTAATATGTAAATAATTTATATACATATCACTGAAACTAAAATATCGGGTATATATTCATAGGTTTCAACAGATTTTAACTCTGAAACAGAATTCTCAAAGTAGTTCTCTTTTGCTTCTTGTTCATAACGTTGAAAAAGCTTTTTATAGCAGTTAAGCTGATCGAGTTGTGTCTAGTCTAAATCAAAATGTTTGGTCAAAAGATTTCGCACATCATACAGTTTTAAATTATTTACTTTGTGAGCATCGGGGATAAGTTTTTCTGGATTGATCATACTAATCTGTTTGCCTTGCCGTGTGATATTTACCAAAGATTCGAAATCGTTTTTTGTAAAGAAGTTCACCTCATATTAAAACATTTCTTGTCCTGTATCATGTTAAAATGTACCTTTTACATTCCTTAAACTGAAAACCCCATGCTCCTATTGGTGTAACAACCTCTTGAACAGCAGACTTCCAATTGTAAACACAGCTTTGTTTCATATCAATGACTGCAGAAAATTTGGAAATAATTTCCTTATATTTGCCAGGTGTTGTGACTATTTCTGCTTTTCATAAATTCTTCCCAATTTGACCTAAAACTCTATCGGATGGTAAGAATGAGTGACCAACTACAGGAAAAACTAACTCAAGTAATTTAACATTTGGTGGTGCGCTCTCGTCTAGCCATTTGCAGCACATACGAATCATTATCAAGTTTTAATTTTGACCACTACATCCATCGTCGAGTAGTTGTACCTTCTTTGACATGTTGTCAAAATCAGTGTCATTGAGTCGATGAAAGGCTGTAGAGGAAATTTCATTTGAGCCTTTGCCAAACTTGTCCTCAGTCTAACAGGATGAAAATACATTTTCTTTTAAAATTAGAAACTTTGAGGAACCTTCAACAACAGTAAAATTATAAAATAAAGCTGCCTTAAATAATAAGCACTCTGATCAGGAACTGATCAGAAACTGAAATTTTTTTGGCAGTCAAACGACTAAGACCTAGTCACAAAGTGACTAGGTCTTCTCTGTTTTCTTGAACAAATTGGAAAAATGCTTTCGCTCGAAGTTTGTCTGTTTTTCAGTCCTTAGTTTAATTTTAGATTGCTCATTTTTCTCCTATTTAATATGTTCACTTAGCTCTAAACATTTTGAGCAAATGTCTGTTCTTGGAGTTTTAAAGCTCAAATTATATTTTCTGTTAAATATATAGCGAAAATATGAGCTCTACACAGTCTCTGATGGAATTTTCTGAGCACTGTACATTGAATACAACTTTCGAGACGCTGAGTTCAGATGAAAGATATATTCTTTTCGTCACTGAACGGCAATAATGGGATTCAGTACATTTTAATTGGTTTATAAACTTTTTCACTCCTCCCAGCTTATCCCCATATTTCACAGTTTTTCGATGACTACCTCTGCGTTCAATCGGTACTAGGCCTGTTTCATTAAATCGTTTTATCACACTGGAAAGCCTGTGTTTTGTTATCCTTAGCACGTTGAAAAAAAGCTGCTTGGCAGACCGGACCTTTTTCCTTGGAGCTTACCTGGTCGCTTCTTTGGAGCTGACCTGGACCTGATTTTACCTGATGTTTTTTTGGAGAATACTTTTCATTTTTCGGTCGACGACGGACAGTACGATTCGCAGTGCAGTATTTCAAAATAAAGGCATCTTGAGTCGCTTTATCTTTGGTCTCTTAGATTAAGCTATAAAATTTCTGTATATCGTTTATTTTAAACAAGCAGCACTTCTATGTTTTTGAATTGTGACCACATGTTGGGTATTCTGGCATATTCTTGGCTTGGATTCTTGTCTTATCGACGGCTTGGAAATAAAATCATAACATTCACAAAAGTACTCACCTTAGACGTTTTGTAACGTTTTTCTTCCATTTTTCAGGTTGCCTTATTTGGTTCCTTGCCTTTGTTGGTGTGACAGGAGACGCATTAACTTCCATGATAAAAAATTAATACTTTTTTGTATATAAAACTAATTTCTTGGACACAAATATAGTTTAGGAAAAGCACAAAAGCAATGTAACGACTCCCAAAACTAAAACAAATTATAATAGCATGATGTAACAACAAATCTAACCATGTGTTAGCTTTACTCTGAATTTCCTCATATATCTCTTTGTCTTTCTCTGTTTTATTTTGCAAGTATTTTAATATGTCCATTTCTTCTTTTTATTTAGTATTTTTACTTGTTGGTTCTGTTCTTTGGTAGTAATCCTTTCTTGCCTCTTATTTTCCTTTTCTCGCTTAGGGCATTACAAGCTGTTCTTTCAATATATATTCTCCAACTGTAGCAAATACACTTTAAATGCTTCTCTTCCAAGTGATATTACATTGTCTGTAATTGTCATCTTCAATTGAACCAGTATCCGAATTGTTCTAATAGCTTCGCTCTGAAATAATTGTCCAGATTTTGAGAATAGCCGCCCTCTAGTCATAAAATAATCTTGCAACGCCGACAGTAATATCGTATTAAAACTTTTTAAAAATATGCCACCTTAGCTGATAAAAAATATAATATGATT